TTTTAAAGATTATGATTTTAACACCTGTCTTATTGCCGAGAAGGTTAAAGCCTTTTCTTTCATCAAAATAGGTGCATCATACATTTCAACCATGACGCCAGCACACAATGGCCTGCTCTTGAAAAATAACGCGAGAAAAATTTACTTTAACATCTATATGGAAGCATATGGTGCATGTTGGTGTGTATAATATGCCTGCAATATCCATAATACAATTATATTCTTGGGTCTTTTGATAAAGTCGCGTAGATAGGTTCAAAGAAAATAACCAAAAATACGACGTTTTGACCGCTTGTGTTGCGATCGAATCGTCGTATATTTTGTTATTTTCTTTGAACCTATTTACGTGACTTTACCGAAACACCCAAGAATATGAATTCCTGCAGTCAAGATTTAATACAATTATAATTTACACTTGTAAAATGCTGCATTTCATTTGTGGATCCCACTAATCCATACCATGTATCAAAAGTACGAAATATACACATCCTCCAGGGCGGATGAAGCTTAATTTACCCACTAGCTCAATCACTCACTCACTGGATGACCCATTCACTCATTCCCTACTCAATCAGTCAACTACTTACCCATTCGGTGACCCAATCACTCACCCACTCGCTCAGGTAAACGGCGAAACTAGGCGGGGGATGAAGACCAGTTTACAGAGGTGAGTTTTAATGACAGACTTAAATATATCTAACTCTGATTGCCTTACTAATCAGAGTGGCCGCTAAATTTGATCAGTGGTTAAACCCGGAATATTGTGATTGGTGACATTTGCATTGGCAAAACCTCTGGATCTGGGAGAGAAGGCAGTTTGACCGATAGCTTCTGCAGTTGGTGTGGGTTCCTTTACACTCATACTGGTAGAGCTCACTTAGTGGCGAATGGCGGCTGTTGTGTGCGGTAAAGTAACCTATAACGCACTGCTACGAACCACGCAACACGATTTTAAATTTCGATTTAAAGCTTTCTTGACTGCAGGGATTCATATTCTTGGTTCTTTCGGTAAAGTCACGTAGAAGGGAAATAATACATTTTTTACAATTAAATTCTCACGACGTTTCAATTGCAACACAAGCAATCATCAAATTTTCTTGCTGTGGTTTTCACACCTGATGATGATTGCTTGTGTTGCAATCGAAACGTCATGATAATTATATTGTTTTATTTGTATTATTTCCCTTCTACGTGACTTTACCGAAATAACCAAGAATACAAGCAACACAAGTTCGATTCCCACTCACCGCCACCAACACCAGTGACTACCTGAACCAGATTTGGGCCTCCCTCGATCGACAGCCTCAAATGAGTGCCTGGTGCAGTGTGTAAACATCGCCACTGGGGAAACAAAAGCGGTCAGGTGTGGCGCTGGCCATACACCCACTCCTGAACTTATTGTTAAGGCTATATTGGGGGTCTTTGTTGCGGGTTACTGTGTCTATGTGTGTGCATTGGAATATGCTCATGTGTGTTAATTTATTTTATTTGACTGCGAGTGTAAGTTAACACTCAACCTTGTTTTTTATTTGCATTTTTAGCTTCTGTTAGCATTACTGATTTTGTAGAGCGTGTTTTGGGAGTGCTAACGTGCTGGGTAGCTAACACACGAGTTTGTGTATTTTAATGTGTGTGTTTGTGTATATGTATTTGTTGCTTTTGCTATGCCTTGAATATTCCAGGAAGTAACCACACTCTGTCAGTGGTTGGCTGGTGCACCATCTGGTGACAAAGTGTGAACCCAGAATATTGTGATTGGTGACATTTGCACGGCTTGGGCAACCCACAGTCTAAGAGCAGTTTTAGTGCCGGGCATAATGGACTTCAAAAGGAACGTGCTGAGGGAGGGTGGTGATTTTGTACAGGTTGCAATACAGAACATTTTTACAACATGGACTTATCGATGATCTCTGCTGGATTGGACGAAGATCTAACGTTCGACCACACTGATTTCCAGATAATGAATATTCAGCTTGCCAGACCTGCAGAGAAGAAGCTTGCAAAGCCCAATTGTAGTTTCAGTCCAGGGCAGTTCTGCGCAAATGTCATACAGTAGACCCTTGTATATCACGGGTTTCTTTTTTGCGGTTTCGACCTATCACGGGTAACCTCTTTGCATACCAATTTACATATTATTGGGTCTTTTGGTAAAGTCACGTAGCTAGGTTCAAAGAAAATAACAAAAATACCAATTTACACTTTCCTGGGAAGGCTGTTCTGGGAAGGATGGTGGGTGGGTGAGGAACACGAGGAAATCGGTGGCACCTCAACCTTGCCATGCAAGCATTTAGCCTTAACAGACTGTCAGGGCAAGTAGCACCTATAAAGGTTGGCCCGGCACACAAAGGGGTAGGTTACCAGCACCATTCCCGGCCGCCTTTGTCTCCCCAGTGGCGATGTTTACACAACACACCAGGTACTTATTTGAGGCTGAGTCGACCTGGGAAGGCCCAGGGCCAATTCAAATAATCGTCATGGTTTTGGGCATGAGCGGAAATTGAAAAATTTTGGGGGAAAATTGTTCAGTTTCCAACATGGGAAATTCGGGTTACGGGATCGTTCACGGGAACCTAACCCTTCCATGACCCGTGGACTGTCTGTACATTAAGATAGCATCTTCAATATTTACATAGTTTTGATAACCTCACAATGGCCCTACAAAAATGAATTTGGTACAGTTACAATGAGAGGCTAATCGATGGCTGGTTATAGTTAAGGGATCTTTTCCTGCTGGTCAACCATGTTATGTATGCTGATGATCTGGCAATGGCTACTCACTGCGATGGAGTTAGGGACTCTTGTTCTGTACCTGGAGAGTTCATCATGAGGAGGAGCCTTTCATATGTTCCAAAAAAATAAAGCACCTGCCTGGGTATTTCATGTCATCCAACATTCCGCCTGCTCGCCTCTTAGTGAGTAATCAGGCAGTTCTACAGGTGGTGGGGGAGCTCCCATACTTGGTTAATGTGTTCACGACCAGCACTGGTATGGCAGCTAAAGTCTCAATTCAAATTAGTCGAGCAGCATTCTTTAATTAGACTGCCTAACATGGTGAGGAAGCTGTCTGGACCATTGCTCCATGTAAATCACTGAACCTTCTTGCCCACAACTATGACCCCTTTCTCTGTGGATGTGAAATATGGACTCATTTAAAGAGCCATCTGTGCTGGTTTATACAATCAAGGCTGGCCTGCCTATGATTCATCCTCTATTGAGCCAGACTTGATGATTTTCGAAGCTTACAAATCCCTGAGATATCCATATATCTCAATGAGGCTATTTGTCAGGCGAGGCTGCATTCGCTGTTTATGAATCCCACATGCTCAGAAACTGCATGCTCAAGAAGCGTAAGTTAGTTCTGATACGAGGGACTAAACGGGTATGGCATGGGCTAGAGAAGAGATTGGAAGATGTGGAGGTGATCGGACTTGCTGATGACTGGTACCAGGAGTGTGAAGATTGGCCTCTGCGGTGGAGGCCCTTGAAGGATGCTGTAGTGTAGTTGGACGCAATCGTCCTGCAACAACGAGGTCAGAGGAGTGACACATCAATTGGTGGAGCGCTGGGTGGCTAAAATGCAGCAAGTTGGCACAGTGGGTAGCACAGGTGGTGCATCTGCCAGTCATCTCAGTCATCCCTTGACACCTGGATCATTCCCATGACCTACTGGCAAGTGCTCCACACTTACATGGCCTCAATTCGCACCAATCATGACATGACCACTGTGATGATGTTACTGCCAATTAGTGGTGAATGGTGGCTGTTTTCCTGATATGATCTGTTAATGATCCATATGAAATATATCTGAACGTAAGAGTGTATCTATATGGGGAGCGGAGGCAGGTTTGTTCGTTCTCTGCATTATGGAGCCAACATTCAGAGTTGTATTATCGCTGACAACAGACATGATTGACAAGTGATAGCTTAACTTATTGTAGGCCTCTGCTGGGTTGATTGTTCCTAGGTTAAGTACTTGGCAAAGAGCATAAGCATCTAGCCAGGCATGGTTCTAGCCACAACACCACCTTCTCCGCCGTTCCAATGCGTGATAGTGTAAAGTTGTTATTTTTGCTGTAAAGTATATTGACCATATTAAACACCTAGGTTTAATCAAAGCAATAGGGTTTTTTTTATTACAGGTGTAAAGAAGCTCCTTGCAGACATCCATTTTCAGGGAAATAGAGCTTTATTTCTCCGAACGTATATACAGTCCAAGTGTAACGACTGCCACACTCGTTATTGCTATGGCTATCTTCAGGCCCCGATGGTTTCCACCAAGTTGATACCTGAAGTCAACCCCGATGGTTTCCACAGTCGGCCCCAATGTCGTCCACCTCTACAGTGCCTTCCGGTCACCTGTTTACAATCATCACAACGCACGCCTTCTAGAACCTCCCTACACATGGAACATTTCATAAGCATGGAAAACACAGCACATGAAGCTGATATTACATCTGTCCCTCCGAGCATTCAAGCAAATCTGAGCCTGGCTTCGGACTTACAAGTTGCGATTGAATATTAATTTGTCCATTTATGATATATCTGTCCTATGCAAATATTTATATTTTTAACACCATTTGCTATTTTTAGCAGACTTTTGTAAAAGTTAACATTTCTTCAATAGCCAGATACAACCGGAATTCTGTATGTAAAGTTACGGGTTATCATTGATATTAAATATACTAGGGCCTCCAGGCATTATACTGACCACTTGCCTGTATGCCAGTCCAAGAGCTGATTGTTAATAGTAGCAAGTGCCTTAAAACAGCCTGTGTGTTGCATTGGGGGTGAATGTTTTTTTACTTCTCATGAATGTTTGAGCGTTCTTGTCTATGTAATATGTGAAAATCACGTGTGACTGTATATATATATTTCTATGCTGACATACATTGTGTGGATATTACTGTTTTCTGTCTGCAGCTGCCAGTTCCTCTGCTACTTTGCTGTACAGAATTGGTCAGATGGAGCGAAGACAATCAGCGGGAGACAAACCATTCAAGTGCACTGTGTGTGGGAAGGCGTTTGCACATTCTTCAAGTCTTAAAACACACCAGAGAATGCACACAGGAGAAACACCCTTCAAGTGCACTGTGTGTGGGAAGGCGTTTGCATGGTCATCACATCTTAAAAGACACGAGAGAATACACACAGGAGAGAAACCCTTCAAGTGCACTGTGTGTGGGAAGGCGTTTGCATGGTCATCACATCTTAAAACACATCAGAGAACACACACAGGAGAAACACCCTTCAAGTGCACTGTGTGTGGAAAGGCATTTGCATGGTCATCACATCTTAAAATACACCAGAGAACACACACAGGAGAAACACCCTTCAAGTGCACTGTGTGTGGGAAGGCGTTTGCACATTCATCATATTTAAAAAAACACCAGAGAACACACACGGGAGAGAAACCCTTCAAGTGCACTGTGTGTGGGAAGGCATTTGCAATGTCATCACGTCTTAAAACACACCAGAAAATACACACAGGAGAAACACCCTTCAAGTGCACTGTGTGTGGGAAGCCCTTTGCACAGTCATCACATCTTAAAAGACACCAGAGAATACACACAGGAGAGACACCCTTCAAGTGCACTGTGTGTGGGAAGGCCTTTGCACGGTCATCACATCTTAAAAGACACCAGAGAATACACACAGGAGAAACACCCTTCAAGTGCACTGTGTGTGGGAAGGCGTTTGCAATGTCATCACATCTTAAAACACACCAGAGAATACACACGGGAGAGAAACCCTTCAAGTGCACTATGTGTGGGAAGGTGTTTGCAGAGTCATCACATCTAAAAACACACCAGAGAATACACAGAGGAGAAAAACCCTTAAAGTGCACTGTGTATGGGAAGGGTTTTCAACAGTTAGGGGATCGAAACAAGCATCAAACCATTCATCAAGAAATTAATCTGAAATCGGATTGTGAAAGTCAAAGTGTTGCAATGAGTCCATCGATCATGAAACAAGAACCAGAAAAACATTTGATATATGAAACCTTGCCAGGAGTGAAATGTCAAGAAGTGAAAATTAAATTTGAATCAGTGAAGAGCGAAGAAGTGATGGTAAAGAGTGAAGTGATAGTGAAATGTGAGGATGAAGATTCCACTCCAAAATCCGACATTCATGTCGATGGAGGCAGCGTTAAGCTGGAGGAGACTGTGGACTCTGAGGCAGAGCAAGGCAACTCCCAGCAATTTGTGGATGTGGAGGTGTGGGTGGATTTTTTAGGCAATACTGAGTCAAATGGAGACCAAGTAGATGTGTATCATTGAGCTTAGGATAAACAAGTTCCATTTAATTAACATTCCTTTCTCATAAGAGGATTGTCCTTAAAACCCGCCACCACCCGACAGCCAACTAGTAAGGGTTGTCACGTAAACAGAACATGCCAATTCGTCACTAGTACAGCACACCGGTGTGTTGGAGAGCCAAGCCACAACTTTACAATCTGAGTACGACGTTTTGCCAGTCATTACAACTAGCTTTATCAGGCGACAGCCAGATATGTGCCTTTCCCATTACAAGAGTTTAACCTCCACGTAGTCAATAGTGGCAGCATGAAGCGGGAGGAGGCTGCGGACTGAGAGTGAAATGAAACCCAGCAGTTTGTGCAGGTGGACTTGTTGGAGGATGCACAGTAGGAGCGGCCAGCATGTGTGGATTTGGAGGTTGGGTAGATCTGTAAGGGGCCATCCATTTAGTACATATGCAAAAATCTGTCAAAACTTGACCCCTCCCTCCCTGTACACACGCATACTTTTTACACCCCCCCCCCACTTGCGTACGTACGCTTGATGCACCCCCCCCCCCCCAGAATCCTTTAGAACGGCCGATATTTGATCCACAGAAACGATCAAGGATTAATAATATTAACGTGTTTAAGCAAAGTCCACCGCTGGACTATCTAATTCATTTGAAGGCCAATGTAGACAAATTATTATCGAGGTTTCACCCCCCCCCCCCCCGTTTCCTATGCGTTCGTACATTGTCAGTAAACCCCCCATACGCAAGCGTACGCATTTGGGTTAACCCTCCCCCCTCCATGCGTACGTACTAAATGGATGGCCCCTAAGCAGGAGCGGGAGACAAAACAGCTCCATAGCTTTCAACGTGTTATAATATTTACATTAATATTGGCGCTTGCATAAATGTTTTATTTCATTCCCACTGTCCGTAGCCAATCTTGCTAATCAAAGGTGAAATCAGCATCTAAAAGCGGCTTGTATCATTTCATCTCTCGACACTTAGCCCAAGTGGCAGCTGTCCCTTTGTGGTACATGGTGACTCAGAACCGACCTGCACGTGGTCATGAGTCTGCCAGTAGGGTGGAGCGATGATGTGTAACCCCAGTCGGGTAATTTGTGGCTAATCTTTCGAATCTGGCAAATTTTGACCCTAACGCCATGAATGTTGAACATCCACTGTTAAGCAGATGGTGCGTATTTTTGGTCATTGTTGCTACAGTAATCATGTGGGCTGCCGGACAGATGTGAACTGTGAACTTCTTTAAACAAATATCAACCGTGCTATCACTTGGCTTCTCGCATTCTAAGAATGCATGCAGGTGTAGGCATCCATTCAGAGATCAGTGTACAGTAAATGCGATGTAATGTGATGCAGTATATTTCAATGCAATAATTCAATGTTGGCGATGTGTCTATTGATAATTTAGAGTTATAATTTTAACACATCTGATTTTGAGCACATACAGCAAAAGCTCTTACCAGCAGCCATGGGGAATCGAGGGTGCCAGTTCATCAAATGTGCCGGTTATCTGAGAGGTATACTTTATGGTTCAGAAAAATTATCAAATGTAAAAATATTTTTTCTTGAAGAAATTAAGCATACATTTTAACTGATATTCAAAATAATTTACTATTTTACAGAGGTACTCACCAGTCATTTGTACAGCATTTTAAGTTTATTGTAAAGAAGCAGTGGTGCTGTTTAAATTACAGTGTACAGTAGTGCACTATTGTATGTACAAGTACAGTGAAACAATTAGGTTAGACAGCCCACAACACGATCACAATGACGGATTGCAATTGCGACTCCATTTGCGCCACTACTCGGCAACGTCATAAAGCACGCTGCAAGATGCCAGAATTTTTCTCTAAACGTAAAGTAATATTTATATTGCCGCTTGACAGATGCCGGTTAATAGAGCATTCCGGATGGTAAAGTACGTGATAGCAGAGATTTTGCTCTATGTACCATTTGGCATACAATGGTCAAAAATGGAATATCCTAACTAGATGAACGTTTGTTTTTACAGTAACCTGTGCGGAACATTTACGTGACTGCTGTTGTTCATCTGATACAGGTTCAAAGGTATTTTTTGTAGCTTAGGAACCATATCCCCGAACTCATTTTTGTCTTCGAAATCACGAATATAGTATATATAAGGGAAAACACTGAAATATTACATAAAGGAGAGATTTTCTCAAAAAACGCTAATTATATTTTGATTTAAAGCTTTCGTGACTGCAGGGATTCATATTCTTGGTTCTTTCGGTAAAGTCACGTAGAAGGGAAACAATAAAATAAGAAAAATATAAAACAATAAAACGCTAATTATGTTGTCTTTTCATACCTACTGAACATTTTTTTGTCTGCCTGCGTACGCCTATACTTAACTGACAAACTGTTGGGTTTACGTTTCAACAAAATACTCAGATGCAACAAACTAAGCCCCCGGACGAAAACTCGCTATTTGTTTTTGCCCTTGGTCCAATGTAAACGAATAAAATCACACTAACAATGTACGCTGATCGTAATGATAACTTTGAGAATGTGCCAAAGCCCACATCTGCACAAGCATGGAAACGCCAACTGGCGCTTGCCCCTAGCAACACAAGCTTTCTGAGCGGCAACGGGAGGGAGGTTCTTAACGTAAAAAATGGCAAAAAACATCAAGCACAGTTATTGCTGCACAATCACGCTGAGATAAATCCTGAACAGTGTGATTTCCCCCCCACCCCAATGTGTATTTACTACAATAGACAGTAGATACTACTGTAGTCAGTAGCTATGACTGTAAAGTCTCTAGATACTACTTGTATTGTATGTAGGGTGTGCAAGTATATATGCCTGCAAAATAAATGGGCGGTGGGGGGGGGGGACAACATTTGGAAACCTTTCGATCAACTATTTACCCCCACTTCTATAACTTTTTGATTCAGGTCTTCAGAAAGCCTGTTATTATTTTGTTGATGGACAAATGGAATGCCGGGCTTTTATAATAGCTTAGTATTTGTGTATGTCAGTTTTAACACGTAGGCTTTCACGACCAATATGCATAATCGTTTATTTGTTAGATTGTGTAATATAAAAATGTGTCATTAAAACCCGCCACTACCCAACACAGCCAACTAGTAATGGTTGTCACGTAAACAGAACTTGCCAATTTGTCACTAGTACAGCACACCGGTGTGTTGGAGAGCCACGCCACAACATTTATAATCTTGAGTACGACGTTTCGCCAGTCATTACAACTAGCTTCATCAGGCATCAGCCAAATTTGTGAAGAAGTCTTGACTGTTTCATTCCTTATGTAATGGGTTCTAATCAGGCGCACACCAAGACTTTGAGGCAACACGTTTATTCTCTAACACAACCAAACATTACTCAACGTTCCACGGTTGACTATGTACATTCCGAGCGACTATGTACATTACAGGTTAACTACGTAAGGTGGAGGCCACCGTTCCTAACCACCTAACCACTTGAACGGAATCCCTATATGGTTGAACCGGAACAGCCAACACGTCGTCGTGTCGTCGTGTACGGAGACTGAAGAGCGAGGACCGAAGAAGATGACTTCTTTATCGGGTTGAACAGCCACGCTCCCTCTCGGGGCTCGGCTTATATTTTCTTCTCGATCCTTTGCGAAGAGTCTGGGTCCACATCACATGGCCCGCTCACCCCCTTCTGGGGGCCTCCGTGCCCCCTCGTCTGGTCACGTGCTCTCGCGGGTTCACCCTGACATGTCCTGACCCGACCACCATGACATCCGGAATCTGCCCTCTAGTAAGCCCTTGTGTATAGTATATCCACTGTCGCCATAGAATGGCCCATTTATGTCGTTACATCACCCCCCCCCCCCTCAAAATACAGCCTTTCCCGCTGTCAACAATAACAACTTTAAACGAGTGTGCCTCCAACAACATAACGACAAATACAGAATATACAATGTGCAGGAGAGAGAAGGGGAAGGGAGCGAACAACAACAGTGCAAAGAGTACAAGAAGGGCCAGGTTCATCTAATGACCCAACTGACCCTGGAGTGCGACAAGCAGCGAAACGACGCAGGAACATGTATGGTGGAAGGAGGTCACTTGAACCGGGCAGTTTTTGAATGAGCCCTTGCAACCGGCCCCCCAGGCGAGGAGGGCGTGAGCTCCCTGGGGGTGCCGGAGGGATCCTGAAAATGGCCTGACGGGTGCGGCCCCTCCCGAGGGACTACAACCCCGAGCGGAGGATGGAAGGCGAACAGTTGCTCCGTACTCCGGTCCATCTGAGGCCGGCAAAATCAGCGGCACCGGGGGCGTTACTTGCTTCGAGTCTGTGGACGGAATAACATAACTCCCCTGAGGATCGGGCCCACCGGACATGCGCCCCAGCTCGTCAAACTCACCAGATACCCGGCCCTTGGTTAGTGGAGATGAGGGGACATTCGCGCATCGGAACAAACGGCTTTAAACGAGCCGGATAAACAAACCACCGTCTGCGACCGAACTGGATACGGACACACTGAGGGCTCAAAAAATCCACGATCTCCACCGGGCCCTGCCATGGTTTGTGTAATTTGGGCG